ATTGTTCTTGATATGGAGGAAGATTTGCAAATTCCATTTATATTGGGTAGACCGTTCCTTCATACTGTAGGGGCAATATTAGATGTGAAAAGTGGTAAACTTACGTTATGTGTAGGGGATGAAAATATTTTTTTTAATCTACATAATGCCCCTAAAAGCCCCATGTTGGAAGAAAAGTGCTATAGTATTGATGTGGTCGATGTATATAATTTTTCTAATAAGCCTCAAGCTCTCGTTAGAGATCCCTTGGAGGCGGTATTTTGTGTTACATCCTCCACAGGAAAAGCCACTACATGGAAGGATGAAGTGAATGCTATAGAAAGGGCTATAAATTGTGTGGGGTTTGGGTTTGAAAATGAACAAGTGGAGAAAAAGGAACAAATTGAGAAAAATTGGACTTAAAATGCTGTAGGGCGCCCAACCGGGCGCGAGAGGAAGTCCGTATACGAGCAATCTCGCCCGATCGGGCGCAAGAGAAAAGAGGATTTTCGCCCAAAATTCTCCCAAAGGTCGAAAAAAGTGTTAAACTCGCCCGAAGGCGCGCCCGGCCGAGCGAGCACTCGCCCGACCGGGCATGAGAGCGCGACAGCAAAACTGGCCAACTTCAAAACACCATAACTTTTGCGTTTCTTTACGGAATTTTGCGTGTGACCTATCGTTGAAAAGCTCTTCAAGTCTAATTTCCAATTAAATTGGAATCACTTAGTTATCATTTGTATAAAAAAAGTAATGATCGAAATAGTGAAACTGACTCGTTTTTACCTATTCTCTTACTAACATTTTGTTTCTTTCTTGTCCAGAATTGTACCAAGGTGATGCATTGAAATGCTTGGGATGGTGGTGGATACAATTTTAATGATGAGGGGTAGTCGCATGGGTTACTTTCTTTCCTTTGAGCCAATGAGGACATTGTCTGGTTTGGCTTGGGGGGAATTTCTTGTATATATAGGTTTTCTTTCTTTCCTTTTTATTTTTATTTTCTTTGGTGTGCTTAGTTTAGTTTTTCTTTTAATTCTTTATAGTTTAGACTTTATTGCTTTTCAAAAAAATTAAAAAATACAAAAATACGATCCAATGAATGACAAATCATGCTTTCCTGTGCCCCATACATGTAAATTGTTTTGATTCTTGGTATATGATGATAAGTATTGCGGATAGGTTAGTCATGATTTGATGTTCGATTGCTTGGATGCCCTAACATGAGTCAATTTTGCCCAACTCCTTGTGAATATAGTGCTTGACTAGTTGATTTGGTTAGAAATGCGTGTTAGTTCCTGGTATATCAATGAACTTGAGTATTGGTTTATAACTTTGATTAATGTTTGTATGACTCACTATTATGCACATTAAGGAGGACGAAGGCATTTGTTCTTGTAGGTGGCCTTTAGAATTATTAGATACATTTGTTCCCTTCTTGCTACCCATGTTATTGCTTGTGCCCTTTCATTGTTTATTTAGCTATATTACAAGCCTATTTAAGCCCCACTGGTTACTAGTCCCAAGCTTGGCTTGGGGGAGCTAATAGTGAGTGAGGTGAGGGAGTTGTAGTGTGCACTTTTGCACAATGTGGGTGAATTTGAGAAGTTGTATAGTTGTTCTTATTTTTATGGATTGGAATAAATATTGAGAAAAAAAAAAGTGTTCAAAAGTGAAAAAATTCGAAGTGAGATTAAAAAAAAAAAAAAGAGCAAAAGAAAAAAATTGTTTCAATGCTCAAATGTTCTAAGTGAAGGTTGATCAAAAGAAAGAAAAAAAAAAGATAAAAGAGAAAAAAGTAAGCAGGTTTTGAGTCAAGATGCCCCAGAATCAAAAAGTAAGTAAGCAAGTTTTGAGTTCACGAGAAAAAGTACCCGTCACAACGTTGTCATTAGAGTCAATCTCGCTCTGGTTCATGACATAGATTCTTCCATTACTGGTCCTACCATTGCCATTGTGGTTGCTTCCTTGATAAGACTATTATATATATATATTTATTCCTCGTCCCAATGGTTATAATTGTGTTTATTTGAGCTCTACAGAGCTACTTTTGTTACTAATATGTGTTTTCTAGTGTTTTCGTAGATTTTGAATATTTTATAGGAAATTGCGGATTTTGAGCATTAACCTGGATTTATTGTAGCCACTACGAGCATTGGGGTAAGGTCACATTTATATGACCACATTCCAAAGCCCGGGACCGGTTGGAGTCATCAAATCGGTGATTAAGGGCCCGGCAAAGAAGAAGAGTCCGGGGCAATGGACCATATATTCAGAACCCTAAGAGGAAATGCGAATTGGGCTAAGAAACGACCCAATTGAAGAAGTCCAAGCTTGCCCAAGAGCGAGCTCGGCAGGGCGAGCCCTCGCCCGGAAGGGAGAGGAAGAAGGAAGAGAATAGTTGCTCGCCCGAAGGCGCGCCCGGCAGGGCAAGCCCTCGCCCGAAGGCGCGCCCGGCCGAGCGAGATGCCGCCCGACCGGGCGCGTGTTTCTGAAGGAGTTTAAAGATATAATTTGTTTTATCTTTTTAGTTTAAGTATAAATACGTTTTATTTTAGGAAGTGAAGAACGTTTTTCACTCTCTTTACTAAAATTACGGATTATTGTTAGTTTAAGCTTTTGTTAATACTCTTACTTTCTCTCTCTCTCTACACTTTCTCTCTCTACATTCTTGAGTTTTATGCAATTTATTATTTCCATTAATTTTGGTAACGATTTCTTCCCTCTTTACATTCAATAATTTAATTGCTTTGATTTAATTATGCTTTCTTTAATTGCTTTGCCTAGTTTAATTTTGATTATGAGTGAGTAGATTTATTTCTAGGGTTTGTGGGGATCCATGAGTAATACGAAGGGGTAATTTATTATTGTTGATTATTGATGATTGATTAATTTCCTATTGATTGATTTAAATACTATGCAATTAGATTTGGCCAGGTTCAATTGTATGAGTTATGCAATATTGATTCGAGATTCGAGAAATGAGAATTGATGTTTAGGCTTAGTTTCAATAGGCATGTTAATCTATAAATGGTTAGGTCAAGATTCGAGAGATGCGATTTAATACCGGTAGATTAATCATGTGATTATAATACGTAGCGACAGCCCTTTATAATTTGGTTAATTTATGCATTAAATGATTGATTGTCATTTTTACCCCGGAGTATTATTTATTGGTGAACCTATATCCTAGATCTTTTATTATTGATTGTTCCCTCGTTTAATTTGCTTAGTTTAATTATTAGTATAATTCACACATTACAAATTGGTTACTCTATAATTTAGATTATAATAATTAATTAGGAGTAAGAGAAAATTGTTTACCTGTGGATTCGACCCTACTTCCCTATCTACTTTAGTTAGAGGACTTAGGAATTACTTTTGATTAGGTGATACGATTAGATCCTATCATTCCTCCAGCATTGTTGTTGTTGTTTTGGCCATTCCCTCCTTAAGCAATGCCATTTCGGCCCTGAGAATTGTTGTTATTGAAGTGGTTGTTGTAGTTTGAGTTCCTCCCATAACCTCCCCCATTATTGCCATTGTTGTTACCTTCCCCATTCTAAGCTTGATTTTTGCCACTCTGCTTCTTTGGGAACTCAAATTTCTCGTGACCAACCTCCCCGCATTCAAAGCAAGTAAGAAAATCTCCATTGCAGCTGCGTCTCGGATGACTCTTGTCACATTTACGACATGGTCGATTGCGAGATCCTTGCTGATTTTGTTGTCCCTGGCCTCGGTGGTTATTTCTTCAATTGTTGTCGTTACGGCCTCCCTGTTGACCATTTCCACCATTCCCATTGTTAATACCCCCGAGGCGTGGTCTCTTGTCATATCCTTGATGGTTTGAGGAGCTCTTACAATTCCCCTTCCTCTTATGCCTATCCTTGACCTCCTACTCACGTTTTAAAATCCTTTAGATATTGCAAGATCTATCATAGGCCTCCTTATAGGTAGAAACAGTACCAGCCCTAATTACCTTCTTTTGGATCCTAAAAGTTAATCCATCTTCAAACTTCTGAGCCTTGGATCTCTCATCAGGCACTACATTAGGAGAAAACCTAACATACTCATTAAATTTCTTAGCATATTCCTGCACACTCATACCAACAGTTTGGTTAAACCTACTTAACTCACTCTACTTCTGTCTCTTGATATGCTCAGGAAAGAAACAATCCCTGATTGCTTTCTTAAAAGCCTCCTAGTTAAAGTTTTGTTGAGCTCTTATAGTGGCTCCTTCTTTTTCCCACCAAATATTAGTAGCCTCACGTAAATAGAAAGTGGCTTGGTCCACCTTCTGAGCATAAAAGGTACCAGCAGCAGTAAAAACCTTGTCAAAGTCACGTACCCAGTACTCAACCAACATGGGATCTTCCTTCCCCATGAATAGTGGAGGTTTCAATGCAGCAAGTTTCTTAGCCATGACAGCTTGAGGGACGTTGTCATTGTTGTTGTTGTTGTTGTTATTGTTCAGCTGGTTTTGCAACAACATTCCAAGGTTCTGGTTCATCTGCTCAAGATCTCTCAACCTAGCAGCAAGTTGCTCAGGAGTCTCAGCCATTTGTGCAATTCTTCTCCTACGAGACCTAGTGTAAACATTGTTATTTTGCATACACAATCTGCACAATTTCAACACTAGTGTTACCACCATACACATTTTAACACAATTTATTTAGATCGTGTAAATTACAATTAAAATTAACAACCACTACACATTCTTTCATGTAACACATCATTAGTACATATAAACATTAAGCAATTTATTAAATCTCAATAACATTCATAATCGGCCAATTTCCAAACCAAATAATGCATGATCAACTTAGCATTAGACTATAAATTCGCATTGCTTTTGTGATCCCACTATAATCCAACCAATTCAAGTCATTACTATACTTGACTAATGTAAGCACAAGAAATAAGAGTTTTGCTTTATGAAATGATACTACTTTTTTGCGTTTATTAGTAAACATAAAATGGCAAAGTATATATGTCGAAAATTATTTTATTGCAAAACCAAGAGAGAATGAAAATCTTCTTTAAAATAACACACTAGTGCTAATTAGTTCAATAAACTACTAGTTACAAATAAACCAAAACTATACTATAGTTTCTAATCATAAGAAACTAGATTTTATTTGTAAAAGTAGTATAAAAGTTTTAACTAAATAAGCTAAACGCAACTTAAAAATTTTCAACCATCATTTTCCCCCTGACTCTCACATTTTCCTGGGGCTCATCCTCGTCATCATCATCCAAGTTATAGTCAAATTCCCGCTTGGCTCCCATCATCGCCTTCTCAAGGTATTCCACAGTAAGGATCCATTTTCCATTATAATAGTATTTATTATTTGGTTCACCGTCAATGTATAAATCAACATATTTCTTCTTAAGTTGAGCAAAGGGTTCCCTTTCAAGTAGCGTGCATAAAAAAATTTGAGATCGTCTCTCCAGAGTAAGGTAATTGGATTCGCCATCAAGTACATTGTAATGAAAATGTTCAATGTAAAGATTCAAATGGTAGACATAACATCGAATGTCTTCGTTGTACTTCATACGAATCCTATAGAGAGAATCAGGTAATACAATTGTACTCTTCCTAGCAACCGACTTTCTTGTAGTTTTACACGCTCGTGCCATAGTCTAAGAAAAGAAAATGAATGAACACATCATAAGTACCTCGTAAAAGAACTATAAAACACATAGATCCCTTATCGTAATTCCCACACTCACGACTTTCCTAAGCTTAAATCAATTTACAAACTTATATACAAGTTTTAAACCTAAGCCTTTAATTTAATCCATTTTAGTCCCTAAATTTTGAAAAATCTTAGCTTGGCTCTGCATACCAATTTGTACCACCCCCAAAATTCGAGTTTTTAAACAATAAGAGTAACCTTTTTAACTTTCAAAACCCAACCATCGAACCTTAGGAGTGTTACCGCTACACTTATTATCCGTAGAAAACAAGTGCAAATTAAAGCAAAACAAAAATACAATTTAATATACTAAGTGGTCTAAATGGCGGCAAAATTAAAATAGTCATTACATCCAAATTGTTAAATATTTTAAATAAAGTAAGTAAAAGGAAAATAAATAAGTTCGGAAATAAACTAAATTGTCTTAGCTACGTGATTATTCTAACGTCTCCTCACACGTAACCGAATACTCTCTTACCAACCTACAAAATAAATCAGAAACAAGAAAAGAGAGAAAACTCCCAAACTCAGATAAACTAAGTAATTCCAACTCCATCCCGTAAAATAAATAATTTTAATTCGAAAATATTTTATACATAATACAGTTACATAGACATTAATTATAATACTAAACCAATATCAAATTATCACATAATACTTTATTACTATAGTTAAGAAAGGAAAAGAGAATGCCAGTAAGCCGGGACTAATCCCTGTCACCACCTACTTTACAGAGGATCGCGCGTAACCCCAAATGGCCATAAAATAAAACATAATGTCCCTAGTTTGCACACCCCTCAATCCCTCACTAATACCCATTGATTAGGAGGAAGACTAAACATCAATCTACGTTAATTTAAACCAACTAGTAGCAACCATAACTACAAGTGGGTAACCTGTTCTTCACCCTTTCGGGTTTCATTTCCCTTCTTAATTGCAATGTACATTTTAATAGATTAAATTGTGCGATCACATTGCACACAAGTATTGCAAATCAATTTAATCCCAAGTAACAATATTTCAATTTCAGTATTATTAGAACATAGTCATTCTAAATGACATACTAATTACAACTCGTTTTCTAATAGGCCTTGGAGACCATCAATTAAATATAATCAATCATCCAATTCCCAAGATTTTAATTATTTTAAAAATTCATACGATACCAATTAATCAAATTTTCGAAAATACTTATACTAGTACACAAAGTATAGAATACTAGTATAAAATATGATTCCATAGTATCATACGATAATACACTCATCACATATAATTATATAAGCACATAGTTGGCACAAAATATTTCAAAACAATTTCCTAACGGTTATCTAAAGATGATGGATATTGAAAATTACCTTGATCGTGCGTAAATCTCAAGGTAAGTAACCTCCGAAACGTTCACCTAATAGCCTCCGTCTACAAATAAATAGATGATAAAACTAAATTAGTCTGACTTGTATAGCTAATAGTCTAATACGAAGTTAGTAGTAGTACAAGGGAAAAGAAAAAAGAACTCTTATATGTCAACTGTGTTGGTGAGAAAAAAATTTAGAAGTATAGAGTATTGATTAATCTAGTAGCCCATTATCTACAACATCTTTCTCCTTTTGGTCTGCAATTTCCACGCACCAAACTCCATAGTTTTCCTTCTTTAAAATAAATTTCAATGATGTCTACTTTTTGGCAGAAGAAAACAACGCCTTCTCTTAATGAAATTCTAGTTCGTTAATTACAACAAGAGGCAAAAGTTTAAAGAAATTGAGTGGGTAAGACAAGAAATCATGAAAAGGTTTAATGATTAGTGTTTCAAATTAAGAAAACCATCGCTTACCGACAAAAGACTAGTCGGGAATGACGACTTGGTAAATTGAATGAGATGGGTATTGTATCAGCTTTAGGATTTAGGTGTATATATAACTTAGAAAGCTTAGGTTGAATTTCTCTAGAATATTTCGAAGATAAGACTTAATTCAAATTGAGGTTGTTGCTAGCTCTTATCCAAAATGTCAGTTTAATGTAATTTTTTATTAATTTTTTTTTCTGTTTTCAAAATTAGTTTATGGAAATTATCGAAAATCATTTTTTTTGTTTAAATTCAAAAATAGAATATAATAATAATTACAAAATTTATTAAATTTGAAAATAATTATAAAAAAATGAATACTAGAAATTCATTTACTAAAAAAAAAATTGGGGTATTACACCGTCAATTTTTTTTTTAGATTATATTGTTTTCTAAGAGGAAAAATTGTAATTAAATCAATAACTTTTTAAATAAAAATTGGTATGTCCATATATGTTGATATAATTACGAAAATGAGATGCCGACTAAGCATATTTGTTGATTTATTTACAATGTATCATTTGGTTATCAATGTAATAAAATGAGATTTTCTCTGTTTTTTTTTTTTCACCTTTTGGGACTTGGGGTTAACATGATTATTTAACTTAATATAATAATATCAACACATCGGGGCAATGTTAGTCCCCTTGCACACAATATGAAAAAGTCAAGTACAATTTAAGGAAAGTACCAACCACCTAACCCACTTATTGTTTGCTATTGATGATTTTTGAAGGGTTTTTTTTTTTTTTTTCCTAAATGGATTTGAGTCTTACTATAGAAATTGGTGGTTAATGATAAGAGATGGATCGCTCAATTATATAACTATTGACTTTATAATGGATGCATTTTATCTAGAGGGAGATTAAGTTTGATAGTGCTGGTGGAAGATTAGGGAGATAATGGAGAAGCATAGGAAAAGAATTTGAAGGAGAAAGAAAATGAGAAAAAATAATTTATGGAGTATAATATATATATTTTTTTTCAATAATTTATGGAGTAGAATTTGAAGGAGAGAGAAAATGAGAAAAAAAATATTAGGTTAATCTCAGAGATTATTTTGTTGTGTATCTTAGTGGCGTATTCATAAATATTTGAACATTTAGCATTGTCACGTCAATTATTTTGTTTTAATTGTAATTTTAAAAAAAAGCTTGTCTAAAGTAACGACTTTAGACGGTGTTTTAACGAAGATGGCATAAATCTCTGAGTGTTCTCCAACCTTGAAAGTTAGTAATTGCTAGATCTAAGCTTTTTTTTTTTTATATGATTAATGCTTGAAGGGCTTTTAGGAGACTATCTTTTTTCTATATAGGGGATTATCTTTTTAAGCTGACTTTTTAGGGGACTTTCTTTTATAACCAAGGGTCTATCTTTTTAAACTCACCTACAATTAAAACTCTCTCCTCTCTCATCCTTTCTCTCTCCAAAACCCTAACCTCCATTGTTGAATTTTGAAGGGGCTTCCTTCGTTTTTAACTGATGGAAAGCCTTAATCCTTGTTTCTTTAAAGTTTTTTTTAGGTTTATAATAATGCTTCTTCCTTTTGGGAGGAACTTTTCTCCCTCGAAAGAAAGGGTTTTCGATCTCCTTCAAAAGACAAGGGTTTTTCGACCTCCTTCGAAAGATAAGGTTTATCTCCTCTTTTCGGGAAAAAATTTCTTGGTTTTAAATCCACGGTATTAGATCTAATGGATTTTTGTGAAATTATTTCGTTGGTGAAAAAGTTATCAAGTTTTCAAATACAAACAGATGAATCACAAGGAAAACATCCTCACGGCTACAAAGGATCGTTAGATTGTCTCTCCAACAAGGCTGTATTTTCCAACGATACAAGCGGGAGAAGTTCCACAATGTAAGATCTACTCGACGATCGTAGTTTTTATGGAGGAAAATTTTATTTGATTCAATATCTTATATATTTGTTAACGTCGAATCTCTATTGTAGATGTTGTATGACTTTTAATTAATGAAATATTTTTGCTATAAAAAAAAAAACTCACCTACAATTAATATTTGGCTGAAAAAGTCACTTAAAGTCCCAAAAGATGAAGGAAAAAAAGTAAGGTCTCAAAAGGTGAAAAAGTAAGTCCCCATCTTTATACTTAAAATAACTCTAAACACCCTTAGATAAACATATATTTTTTTATCATGAAAATACAAGACTTGTTTATCAAATGACAAATTTGTAATTAAATGAAAAAAAACATTATTCATGGTAAAACCGTCAACACTATTAACTGTTTATAGTAAAACCTCTAATGGTGTTAGTGGCGTTAGTGATTCTACCTTAAATAGTGAAAAAAGAAATAAAAAAATCATCATAACTCTATTAGTGGTTCTCCTTGAATAATGTTGTTTTTTTTGGGTTATAATATTTATTTACAAATTTGTTAAGTGATAAACTTGTATTTTCTTGATTAAGCAAACGCAAAAGCCATAAAACCTCACTTGAGTCAAATCTATTTTCTCTCTTCTCCCCCTTGGTCCTCCTCTTGCACCACCACCGACGGACCACCACTAGGCTGCGGCGCACCGGAGACCGGCGTTCCTCTCTTCCCTCTCGCATGTGCGCGCGGTTGGGTACCAAAGAAAAAAAGTTCTCTTTGCCCAATCACTGAATTTTTTCGAACATGGTAATCCTTTTCTTAAACCTTAAATATTTCCAACACTTTGAATTTCTGCATTGAATTAGGGCATATATACTTGATTTTCAGTGTAAATTTGTCTTCAAATTTGTCAGCATTTTGGGTAGAAAAGGATTTAAATGATGCTTCGAGTTCAAAGAAAACAAACCCTGCTTGGAATTATGCAGTTTTGGTCACCCTCAACAATAAGAACTATTTCATCTGTAACTATTAATACTACTAGTTTACTGCCATTTTGATTTTTGTTTGTTTTATTTTGATGCATTGTTGCTTTGAAGTTTGATATTTTAGTTGCATAGTGATTGCTGGGATTTGAATTATTGATTCATTGAATTGGTATTTTGCAGGATGCTAAGGTACCTCTTTCGGCCGAAGAGCTTGAGAGAAAGAAGAAAAAAAGAAGAGAAGGTTTGTAGTACTTTGATTAATTGGTCAAGTTCATTATGTTGCTTTTAATTTTACCGGGAAATGAAAATTTTATGAAGGGTATTTCCTATTAGGCCATCTATCATTATTGGAATCAATCATAGGAAATCTATATGCTGTAAGCCGTATCCTCGATACAAACATGACACAAGTGTATTGAAATCTGATGAATGCTATTGTCGCAATTCTACGAGTTACAGAGTAAAGAATATGGTTTGGTATCTTTTATTATGTTGTTCAATGCTAGATTAAAATTGGTTTATGCTAAAGCAAGATTTATTTTTTGGGTGGGGTTGTTAGAGGGCAAAGAGGGGTACTGTAAATGTAATCTATGGCAATTCAGAACTTAACGTGAAGTATATATTCTGAAGAAGGGTCGTTAAAGTTTGCTCTTGGAAGCCTTATTCAGTCAATGTTAGATATAGTTGATTGGGTGCACGAATTTAATGCTGTGTTGAGTTTAGATACATAAAATTAAGTGTATGCTGTTGAATGTCCCCTTCCTTTATGCGGAAAAAAAAAAAAAGCAAATCAAAATGAGTTTGAGTGGCATTTCAGAATTTGAGTTTGCATGTCTGTTGCTGAATGTTAATTTGTTCTAGTATTTCTTATCTGCCTTTTCCCCTTTCAAAGAATTGGTCATTATTGTGATCCTTCATTGTGATATGATGCTAATATGCAATGATTCTTTACCTTGTTGCAGGCAAAAGAAAAAGAATTGAAGAAACAAAAGGCAGCGCTCAAAGCAGAAGTTGCTAAACTTCAGGTATACACTTCTATTGTAGTTTCACTCAGCGTTACAAGGTTCGCGGTACGTAGCCACGAATCGCGAACTGAGTCGCATGTATCGGAACGTGGAACAAACGCGACTTGGGTCTCTGGGGTTTGCGATCTGGATCGCTGAAGGAGGCGACTCTGGTAGCACCTAAGCGGTTATTCTTCCTATGCAACGTTCAATGGTTTCTTCCCGATATTTCCAGTGCATTTTCTCTCTTTTCTAATTTTATATCTTAGGAGTAGTTTTTTCTCTCTCATCTCTCCTGTTTACACAATAATACTAGGTAGGATAGTACTACATAGGGCAGCGGCTAGGGTTTTATTCCAAATGGGCTTAAATCTTCATCACTAACTTTGGGCTTTTTATTATATATATTATGTACTCTATTTTCTTAAGCAATCCACCAACCCACATAAAATCAAGCTAGGATACAACTACGCTTTATATTATTTTATCAAAATCTTTTTTTTTTTTTTTTGGTAATTAAATCAATTTTATTACCAAGTAATAAAGAAGTTACAACCTATAAAATACAAGTTGCAACTCTCCAAAGCTACACAAGCCTATACATAGGCATCCAACCTCCTAAAACATTCCCTATCCTACAAAGAGACCACCTTCTAGGAAGGGTGCCTCTAGGAGGAGAGGGAGCAACTGGACCCAGGGAGGTGGCACCTTCTATGAAGGGTACACCCCACAAGCCCCAGCAAGAACAAGTTCTCAAGTTACAAACAGATAGCTACAAGCATACACAGCAAAGCAAACAAACAGAAACAAGCTAATTACATACAGAAACTTGTAAGCTGTAAAGCCACTGACAGTGCTTCCTCTTCCACTTGCAATTGATCAGCTGCCTGCCTTCTCTGTACAATCTCTGCACGAATCATTTTACAAACAGCTCTAGGATGAATTATGACCTTCAGCCAAAATGCTTTGTTCCTTGCAAACCAAATCTGGTAGACTACAGCAGCCAGGCAGCATAGCACACCTTCTTCTTAATAGGGTCTTGCATCACTTCTCCCCATCTCTTCCAAGAAGTATCAATGTCAAACAAGGCTTCAGGAATATCCAACCAGGCATTGATGCTTGCAATACATTTCCTGCTATAATCACAATCAAAGAAGAGTAGGCATGATCTCTCCTGACAAACACCCCAGTCATTGAGCATACTTCTTGTTTTCAATCTATTTTGCATTGCTAGCCGAAGAATAAAGGAATGCTTAGGAATATTAAAACTATTCCAAACCCAGGAGTTCCAAGTGACCTCTTGCTGAGGTTCCTGAAGCCACTTATAAACAGTTGGGATGTTGTAATCCCTGCTCATCCATCCTTAGTGTGAAAACCCTCTTTTAGCTTGTCCTTGCACAACTTTTTCCAAGCCCAGCCTGCATTCTTCTTAGGCTTGTAATCCCACCGGTTCCCAT